CAAGTTCTGACGAACACCTACCAAGTCGCTGCTAGTAAATAGATTCCTTCGCAGATTACACATCAAATCATGGTAATGGCGGGAGGCAATCTCCTGGAATATTCACACTTGTGTGATACGACTCGCTTTTGTTGTTGAAATACATTTCTAAAGTTTCATCTAAGCTTAAGTAGGTTTATTCAAGTGACTCCATCACAATTTGATATTGTTGAGCTTACTTCCATTTCAAGTGAAAGTGTTGGGTGAAGAGATTCTTAGGTCGGTTCTACCAGAAGACAACTGCGGATTCCTCTTGACCAACTGTCGATTGGCTTTACTGGAAGATTCATGCTGACGCTGTTTCCGAGGTAAACTCCTTCGATTCCGGTGAAAAGGTGCTAAGCTTTCGTCCGTCATTTGACGAACATAATCAGAGCAAGTTATCATCGTCACAGCAAAAATCCAGCTAACGAGTCAAGAAAGCTTAGCATCTTTTCATCGGAATCGAAGAAGATTACCTCAGAAACAGCGGCTTTTCTGGGCAAAGATAGTTCTGAAACCTTCCGTTTGAGCCAACAAGGGCATATACTTTTGTTATTTACCATAGGTTATATACCCTCTTATTGCGTGTGTGTAAATATTTTGCCTCAATTGTTATAGTGCTGATCGCTACTGCATTCCTATACTTTAGCAAATTGTATTAGACAGCTTCAGTGAGAGGTTCGTTATCTGACACTTTCAGCTCGTTCGGAGCCATGGAAAGGTGTACTAAGCAGACTATGATCCGTCTCGAATGCTGTTTTCATCACACTGTCTTGACATGATGAAAGTTCAGTCTAGAGTCTGATCTAAATACGGCATGGTAAAGTGTCATCTATCTCAATATTATCGGATGTATTCAGGTTTCTTACTTCCTCATGGTATATTTTATTTAAAGATCTTTCGAATTTCCTAAATCCATTCTATCGCTCAAGGTAACTGGTCGTTGATCCCCTTCATTCGCCTTCTCTTAGTGATGTCTTCATAACTCGTAGTCACACCTGATATAACAGTGAATTCTCTGCAAATCTCTGACCTGAAAGACTTCATTCATGACCAAGACCATTGCAATTATTAAAGTCCTTTTTGCACGCTATTTTTGCATCTCGTCAAGCTCATTCGCTCTAAAATGAGCCTAGAGTTGATGAAAATTATGTAAGACTTACGTGGCGGCATTGTCTATTGCCCCCTGATACCGGAGAAGTGGAACTAGCTGAGGCAATAAGAAACGAGATTTACGTGCACAGCTGCTCGAAAAGACCTGGACAACATCGATTGCATCTAAGCCACTTATCCACCCACAAGTCACAATTCATCAAGGATAAGCTAACATCTTCCTAATGTAGTGCCGCACTTAAGCAAATCCACATAGGTTTTCTGAAGTGGCTGGTTGGCTATGTGCCCTTGTCTACATAGATATTAATGGCATGGATACATTGTCATTTATCCAGCGGGACGAGCAACATGCCATAAATGGATAAATTGTTATGGTTTTGTTGATATAAATTAAAGGTACATCTTTTTATTGCATCAATCTTTACGTATTACTAGTCAGGCTTTTGTAATTGTAGGTGCAACTATAGCTAATGTATGTGTATTTCAGGGAATTTCTTGTCTGATAATTGGCGAGCTCATTTCCATTTCGGGTGGAGGTAAAAAAGGAAGAGTGAAGAAATTCGAAGGTTGATTTCATTTTGTCCACGTTGGCTTGAATACGGTAGCAAGAATGATACCCTGCTTTGATGATGTCCGCCATTCAACGGATGAACAAAAGCTTAGCACGTTTTCAGCAAATTGTTGGAGATTGCCTCGGTGGCAGCATCTGCAAGGATGTTCCAGTAAAGCCAACCGACAGCTATCAATAGGAATCTGCAGTCGTCTTCTGGTGGGATTTACCTTCCAATCTCCTTATCACACATTTTCGCTCGAAGCGTGAGTGAGCTCGACAACTACAGCTAACATTCAATTTCTCACCCAATTATCTGTGTTTCTTGAGCCTCCATCGAGGCCTAGAGGGCCTATTTAATAAGATGACAACTAAAAGTCATGCATTTTTGTATTATAATTGTTAGCTTCCGTTTATACTTCGTTTATTTTTCCTTTAAATTTCACTTCCCTCTTCTTCGTGGTCTCTCTATCCCTTGCTTATTCCATGCGTTTTATTTGCTTTTTCAAAATTCACATTCATATTTCATGTTCCCTCTTTGATTTTATTTCTGATTTGCCACACTAGCTACTCAAATTTATACTTTTATACGTGATAGAGTATATTTTCAGTGCCCTAGTGACATAACGCTTTTGGCATATAATATGGATCATATGCTTGCATGCACCAGCTAAAATTACTCTTACTTCTCGCCATCGTCCATTTCCCTTAACCTCAAAGCAAGCCTTACTGGAAACTATGCATTTTCAATTAAATGCCACTATTTTCCTCAAAGTAGTCTAATTTCGTCTTTGCCTGTCTGGTAATTTGGTCCTCAAAATTGAATTATTCACCTTTAAGGCCTTATCCTCTTCTCATTGCTGGTTCGCTTTATTTATGTGGATGGAAGCAGTGATGTTCTCAACTCTCCTGTTTGATTGGCTGAATTTAAATGCGATGTTTCTAACTACAAACTTATTCCCGTTTAAATACACACAAGTATGCACACTAATACAGTATGTCTTTTCCCCTATTTAGTTTAATATGTTTTGCAGATTTCTTAAGCCCTCCTGAAAGCTGTACATAGAGAAGAAATATTTCTCTATTTTTGCCTTCTTTTATGCTTTTTTCTGGATGTTTTTTGCTGCTAAGAAACCTTTTTCGTATGACTAGGTTCCTAGAATATTAGTCACACTAAATTGTAATGAATCTCTAGGCCTATATTAAAGAGACGCAAAAATTAACCTCCTTCTGGCACTGCAATATGCCATTTTTTATTTATCCTAAAGCAAAGTCATTTTAGTACCACTATTATCATAAATGTTGTCTGCAGCTTCCTTAGAGTAGGCAAATATTTATTAGCAGTAACCTAGTAACTGCTTAGGCAATTTTCACAGCTGAATTTGTCTATATTAAGGATTACTAATAGTCTCAAAAACTTCGTATACTGTAAATAAGTGATGTGCAACGGCAAAATCATATTCCTCTTATTGGTAATCACACCATGATTTGGGAGAGGGCTGGTTTTCTTTGAATGTAGCAACTGCCCTATGACCCACGTGTACTTGTGGTTGTGTATTGTAATGGTAAAGTCGCCATGGTAATTACGACTCGTTATCAAATCCCGTTAATGGTGCTGCTTAAGCCCAGGCCGGGTCGAAGCTTCAGTCCATTTAGGATGAGATATCCTTTGGGGAGGCAGGGCCAATCGACATTAAGTTTTATCGTGAAATGCCTGCTCATCCCGTAATGGGAAAACTCAATTTAATCTTCTTATATAGAAGTTGTTTGACTTTGTTTTTGCAACTTTGTCATATTGGCAGGAAGATCTAGAGGAACGCACCTTGTCCAGAGTCCATAGTATGCATGGTCATTTCCAGAGTTCGACCGTGGACTTGGTACATTCCCATCCTTATACAACGAAAGGAGACCGCGACCATACAAAAAGGCAACAATATCCTGATCTTCATATCTTCGATTAAATGTTCCTATGTCTCCTTAAGCAATCTAGGGTTACTAAGTTATTGCTGATAAACATTTTCTAACTCATTAGCGGGCATCATATATACTAATAGTGATGCTAATATGGTTTTCGCTATTTAACGGTTTAAAAAGGCATTTTCCTTGCTAAAATTTTCGTAATTTTTCCATTTATTCTATGCGATACTGTAGGCTTGCAACAATTCGGCTTGATATGAATTCTAATTTCGAAATAAAAGTTGGCTAGATGGAATTAATAGATTGCAATCTTTATTGGGTTTCCCATAATTTTGTTGGTTGCTTTATTCTAACTCTACTTGCTTGCAGATGGCTGAAGCTAGTTGATAATAAACACGTGAATTCGTCTACATTTGTTTACCTCTTTGTGTAAACAAGCGTACTATCCTCTAATCTTGTCTCGTGTTTTGGTTTGCGGTATTGTTTATTGTATGCATGTAATGTTTAAGTCATGATGGTTCTTTTAGCCTTAAGCAGACTCGAGGCTATTTAAGCCTCTTCATCCTTTGTTTCGATGGTTCTTCCTGCTTTCTCACTCCTTTCTGATCCTCAGGCTTATTCAACAGCCATACATAGTTTGCACTTATTTTCTTACACGTTCCTTCTCAGAATTGGTGCAGCCAGAAATGCTAGCTTAGCCTCCTTTTCTAACTCCATAGTAAATTTACTTTTGCCCTATACTATATTCATTAGTTCAAGTAATCGCTACAATCTATATTTTCCGTGTTATCAAAGAGCAAAGTATTTATCTATAAACATAACCAATAATTTTGCTATCAGAATTGCGTCTTGAAGCTATTGAACCTCTGATATAGCTATTTTGTTATAAGCCAACAATAAGGCTAAACAATGTCTTATAGCCAAACCTCGTGTTTCCTCTTATAACCTTTTAGGGAAGGTAAAACTTGTATTGTTCTAACTATTATGCTATCCAGATATTGATCTAAAATTAACCATTAATAGTTTTATATTTTTAGCTATATATATGTACGACTACTTTGCTCATTTCAACACGACCCTAGCCATATTTGTAGCCATTTATCCTCAACTTCACCAGGGATATTACAAAAACTATTAGCTATTTCATTAATTAGATTAAATTCTTATACAGTTACTATTTCACTTATGAGCCTAACCTTCGTTTGTTGTTTAGCAATGTATGACTTTATTGCTGAGTGCAACACATGTTAAAATGATATATATTAATTACTTTATTTTACTTTTTTATTCACTCTAATTTTTAAAAAATTTTAGTCGTAACCTACGAACGGAACTTCCATTTGAAGCCAGTCATTTTGCCAACACTCACAATTTTCAGTTTGCCAACGGCTACGATCATATGCATACAGCCCCCATCCCTCGTCGACGGGCTGCTAGCCAGGCTCCTGGGGATTCATCGACCTCAATTTCAACAGGTTTCTCAGGTCGGCAGCATTCACCATCACCTCTTGATGCTGAAAATGTACCATTGAAACGGCCATTGTTTGGAGCCCCTTTCCAGACCGGCCGGAGACTTCGTCTTAATGGAAATGTCACTGGCGGCAAAGGTCATAATGTGAATTCCGAAATAAACTCGGATCGCACCCGTTTTCTTCCAACCTCCCGAATAACAGGGCTACCGGCGTCCGCCTCGGCCTGGCACTTGGATACTAGTGGTTCTGCTAACCTTTCTATAATGACTACGAGCAGCACGAGTTGTCAGTTCAGTGGTGGACACAATATAGGACGCTGCAGTCGACCTGAAGATACTTGGTCTGCCGTTTTGGGCCCAGAAAGATCAAGGCGGTCCGCTGCTGGATCAGCTTCGGTTTTTGCCTCGCGACGTCGTTTTCGCCGAGGTGTCGTCGATGATTATGACGAAAATCAACGGCCAACAACAGTCCATGACGAGACTCCATCTGGTCGCCAGGGCTTTATTAACCGGCGGTTTGGTACGCTTTCGCGCCTAGGCCGGTCTGAAACGACAGTTCCTTCGAACGAAGGACGTAGCAACTCGAGATTCAGAGAGAAGGAGAAGGAAAAGGAAGAGAAAAGTGATAAGCGTCAAAAAGTGCGAGACGGCAGTGCTGTTCGAGACCGTCGAAAGATCTCAGGCAGATCAATTGAGATTAGTTCTCCTATCCTAGAACCGCGTAAGTCATTAAAAGGTAAAGACGTTATATTTGAGTTCCATTGTTATATTTCATCGTAAATAAGTAGAGCTTCGAGACCACCAGTAAATCAGTTATATGAGATGTATTCACCCTATTTCATTAAAGGTGATGAAGGACTAGTAGTATTTTTATGAGACCAAGGTATATCAGTCGGATATACAGGCCATAAACTAGTCATTTATGATATGAAGATGCTATGGCATATATTTTGGTTGCAGTCTCCTTTCTATGTATGCAAATGGTCTAATCTCGTTTTTTCAACTTCTTCGTGTTATCAGAGTGGCCTAGTTAGACGCACCCAGTTGGAAGTCTTCTGCTATAGTAGTTATAATAATTCCTGGCGTTAAACCATGGGATTGGTACATTCCCAGATGTTTCGCATGCATTTTCAGTGAGTTTGGCCATTCTCAGTACCAAGCTGCACTTCGTCGACGAGACACCTGAGGTCAATCCCTTGAGCAAATTTTTGCCGAACGGTTATGTTATCACTCCTCTTTCTATCCTAGTAAATCTAGCTACTTCTACTCTTTTGTCTCACTCCCTATCACAACTTGCGACATTTATATTTGATTCATTCAAAGGTGTGCACCTTTTGGCCAAATTAGTCGGGTATTTTCACACCTACTTGTTTGCCTCGCCTCCCCTCCATCCATCGGAGATTAGTTTCCTATCGTACTGGTTGATAGATTTCACTCGATTCCAGTCAGTAGACTGAATTTTTTTCTACTAAACGGGAGTTTAAAAAGACTTGCATTTTGAGCAACATATTTTCTGCAATGCATCACTTTCATCATAAAGCAAAATCTTGATTCTTCAAAGATTCCATGCCAACTCTCATCATGATCAGAATTTAATAATTTTGTTAACAGTGACCTGATTGGCTATACATGTTTGCCTAGAAACATAAGCCCTTCACAAGTTTTTTATATTCTCTAGAGGGCATTCAATATTAGGTTATTTGATG